ACTTGGTGGCTTTTAAATCATAGACAAGTCTTTTAACTTCTTTAAGCCTTGAATTCCTCATTTATAGAATGGGCTTAATATTGATCTCAAAGAGTTATAAACAAAAATGAAGATAAAATACTTGGTTTAGTTCCTAGATATAGTAAGTACCCAATAAAGATGAACTAGTAAGATTAAATTGATAGTTAAAACATTAACCTAACATATATGAGAGCTTCCTGTTCTCCATTATAACTTCCCTTATTAATTGTAGGTAAAATACCATAAAAAATGAATTGCAAAGGAATGCACAGGTTTATATTTAAAAAATTAGCCAGGCATGGTGGAATGTGCCTGTAGTTCCAGCTACTTGAGAGGATCACTTGAATCCTGGAATTTGAGACCAGCCTAGGCAACAAAGTGATACACTCATCTCAAAAAGTAAGTGACTGGAGGTGTGGCTCAAGCTGTAGAGCACCTGCTTTGCAAGCTCAAAGCCCTGAGTTCAAACCCCAGTCCCACCAAAAAATAAAAAAATGTAAATAAAAATAAAAATTAGCAGGGCATGGCAATGTATGCCTGTAACCCTAGCACTTAGGAGGCTGAGGCTTGACGATAGTAGTTTAAGGCCAGTCTGGACTATATAGCATAATCCTGTTTCAAAAAAAAACAATTTGTTTTTTAGAAATGCTTTTAGAATTGGGAATGTAGTTCAGAACAGAATGCCTGCCTAGCTTGCATAAGGTCATGGGTTTGATCCCCAGCCCTGCTAAAAATTTTTTTATTATGAAAAGCAGTAAGTATATTAGAGAACATTTGCAAAACAAAGAAAGTCAGTCAACTGGTGGCTCACCCTGTAATCCTAGCTACTCAGGAGGCAGAGATCAGGAGGATCATGGTTCAAGATCAGACTAGACAAATAATTCTGGACTCCATCTCTAAAATAACCAGAGCAAAACAGATTGGAGGTGTGGCTCAAGTGGTAGAGTGCTTGCTTTGCAAGCATAAGGCCCTGAGTTCTAATCCTATTACCACCACAAAATAGAGAAAAGAAAGTACCTGTGATTTCATCAGACTTGTGCTGTATTTCTTTTTTTTTTTTGTGCTGTATTTCTTTGTATTTTTTTTCCCCAATGCAGATTATTTTGTAAAAATATGTTTGAAATAGACCCATATATTTTCTTTTCATGGAGGTTGGGCATTATGGCATTATCATAATGTAATATTTCAAATGCATGACAAATCTCTCTTACATTTTATGAAAAACTATTTCAGAAAAATAAAGACAAAGAGGTAAACGTTTTACTATTGTATTTCCATTGTTTTTTCTCTTTTCTTTTTTCTTTTTTTTTTTGAGATAGTGTCTCTTGATATAGCCCAGGCTGGCCTCAAACTTGAAATCTTCATCCTGCCTCAGCCGCCTATGTGTTGAGATTCCAGGTGTGATCCACCACACCTGGCTGTATTTTCATTCTTATTTTTAAATTTGTGGTTTTCAAGATTGTTATTCTAGTGTACATAGAATTTTAACATTCTGCTATTTTTTTTTTTTTGAAGTACTGGGGTTTGAACTCAGGGCTTTGTACTAGTGAGGCAGGTGCTCTACAAACTTGAGCCACATCCCCAGCCTTTGTTCGGTTTTAGTTATTTTTCAGATAGCGTCTTGAGTTTTTTTTCCCCCAGGGCAGGCCTTGTACTGCATTCTCCTACATATGGACTCTGGTGTAGCTGGGATGACAGGTGTACTGCCATGCCTGGCTTATTGAGATGGGTCTCACAAACTTTTTTCCCTCTAGATGCTGGCCTACAACTACAATCCTCCCACTCTCCATTTTCTGTGTAACTGGGATTATAGCCAGGAGCCACCATGTCCAGCCACATTCTGCATTTTTTTTTTTTTTTACATTAAATCACAAGCCTTTCTCCTTACTATTACATAATATTAAGGCAGCATTTATAGTGAGTAGAGCATATAAGAGCAAGATTTTGGGCTGGTGGAATGGCTCAAGTGGTAAAGCACCTGCTTAGCAAGTGTGAGTCCCTGAGTTCAAGTGTCAGTACCATGCACACACACACACAAAAGCCCAAGATTGAGTTTTTTTGTTTTTTGGCACTTTGGTTGAATGCAGGACTTCATACTTTCTAGTCAGGTGTTTTAACAGTTGAGCCACTCTACCAGTCCAAAATTTAGTTTCTTTATAACTGTATATGAAAAAACTAAGGCAGATGTAGGAGTGATAAGCCAGAAACTCAGAGTGAGCCCTTTTGGTTTGTTTAGGGCTCTACTGTAGAAAATGTAGACAAAGTTAGAACTCAGAAATTCTAACCTTCCAACTAAATGTCTAAGCAAAAATATATAAATGTTATTAACATAATATTAAATTCTATATTCATTTTTATTACAAGGGAAAATGGTAGAATACTGTTCAATAGCAAAGATTTTTTTTTTTTTTGGTGGGACTGGGGTTTGAACTCAGAACTTTGTGCTTGTGAAGCAGATGCTCTACTACTTGAGCCATACCTCCAGTTCATGTTCCTGTTTTTTTTTTTTGGCAGTATTGGGGTTTAAAATCAGGTCTTCATGCTTGCTAGGTAGACACTTTGCCACCTAACTCACTTCTCCAGCCCTTTTTGTGTTAGTTATTTTTGAGATAGGGTCTCGCAAGCTATTTGCCTGGGACTAGCTTCGAACCCTGATCCTCCTGATCCGTGCCTCCTGACTAGCTAAGATTGAGTCCTGATTTTGGAGATGGAGTCTCTCCAACCATTTGCCCGACTGACTTTGAATTGTGATCCTTCAGATTTCAGCCTCCTGAGCAAGGATTACAGGTGTGAGCCATTTTGGGTGCCAGATTTACTTATGATATTATTAGGGGTTTTGCTCTCAAAATTGGGTAACTATATCCACAAAAGGGGTCTTTTTAAAAAAAATAAAGCAAGGCAACGCAAATCTTCAACTGAACAGAACAAGTCAAGGTCTGGTTATGGTTTCCCAGATACCGTGACATTTGCGTTGGAAACAGGCATTTACATTTTAAATATGCTTTTGTGTTAACATTGATTTCAGAGTGCAAACTTTTTGTTGCTTATTTTTGAGACAGGGTTTCATTATGTAGGCCACGCTGGCCTCTTGCCTGGCCTGAGCTCCAGAGTGCTGAGATTGTAAGCATGTACCACAGGGTCCCACCTTTCTACTAAGCACAAACGTTTTGCTTTTAAGTTTTTTTATTCCTTTAAAGCTTTGCTGCTGCTTGGTGCTGGTGGCTCATGGCTGTAATCCTAGCTACTCTGGAGGCAGAGATCAGGAGGATCATGGTTCAAAGTCAGCCTGGGGAAATAGTTCCTGAGACCGTATCTGGAAAAACCCATCACCAAAAATAGGGGCTGGTGGAGTGGCTGGAAGGGTAAGCCCTGAGTTCAAACTCCAGCAGCCACTCCCCTCCCCCCAAAAAAAGCAGTGCTGCTGTAGGAATTCAAGTTACAGTTCAAAAACTGTAAAATATACATTGAGGAAACCATACACATATCCGTTGCTAAATAAATGGTGTATGACACACAATGGAATATTATTCAGTTTTAAATAGGAAAGAAATTCTTATACATGATACATGAATGAACCTTGAAGGAATTATGGTAAGTGAAATAGGCCAGTCAAAAAGACAAGCACTGTTAAGATTCTGCTTACATGAAGTACCTACAAAAAAGTCAAATTCATACAGACAGAAAATGGGATGGCAAGGAGAACTATTGATTAATGAAGTTTTAATTTTGCAAGATGAAAAGTTCTGGAGTTGGACATTGATAATGGTTGCACAAAAATGTGAGTGCACCTAATGCCAATGAATCATACACTTAAAAAATGGTTAAGACAGCAAATTTTGTTAGTATTTTTCTACATTTAAGAAGTTCCTCTAGTATTAGATACATCGAGAAATACATATATTCAGTTTAACAAATAATTACAAGACAAATATATGTGTAATTGCCACCTAGCTCAAGAAATAATGTTATCAGAGGTACCCTTGTGCGTCCCCTCATCACAATCCTTTTTTCCTTCCTGCATAACCACTACCATGACTCTAACATTTGTATTTAAAAATCACACTGTAATGTGATAATGCAGGATAAGTTAAAACAACACTATAAAACGCAAGAGCCTTTCTTTAAATTCCAATGTTTCTGTAAACGCAAAAAAAACCACAAACCTTTAAAACTTTTAAAGTGCTTTTTATTCTCTTTTTTCACTCTTGAAACTTCACATTCTAAAATCTGTTTTGGTTCCACAGTTGACCTCACCTGCAGAATTTAATTTAAAAAAAAAATCTTCAGTGTAGATTTTCATTCCTCTCTCTCTCCCTTGCCTCCAACTACAAAGAAACAATGATTTAAACCCTTTGTGCCCTTTTAGAAAATTACACAGATACCCCATTGTGGAACCCTATAATCCCTTGGTGGAAAGGAAGAGATTAGCATATGAATACAAAGCAAAATGAATCCAGAATACAAAATGATCTACTGAATTGTGAAGCTCTTGTATTCTAAAAAAATGTATTTATTTCCTCTTTTTGTATCGCCCCTTTAGTGGACTCAGGGTTAAGGGAATTGAGCTTCCCCTCTGGTTACCCGGAAAAGGATAAAAAAAAAAAAAAAAAAAAAAAAAGCCAAGAGATTCTAGGAGGTGCAAAACCAACAGATGGCTCCTAGCGCCAATGGAATCTGCTACACTCGACGTGAGCTTGTTTGCCCGCACGGCGTGTAGAAAGTGCTGTTCGCAAACTGCGTGGTGAAGGAGAGAAAGCGACCGAAGAGAGAGCCATAATGCTGACGTTGAAGGCCCGGCCCTGTGAGGTTGCATAGGGTAAGCGGCGTTGGCCAGGAGGCAGCGGCGAAGGGGAAGGAAAGAGGATTTGGGCTAGGGGCGGGGCCTGCGGCGCAGCGTGGCTCCTGATTGCTGGAGCACGGCTGCCAATCTTACAGAATCGCTCGGTTAACCAGTGGCCTGGCGAGACGCACTCAGATATACTGAGCGAGCCCTGAGAAGCAAGTCTCAGATCCTGACGGTGCAGCAGCCCGCAGCCTCAGCCCGGGAGTCCCAGCCGCTTTCAATGGAGGAGAAGCCCGGCCAGCCACAGCCTCAGCACCATCACAGCCACCACCATCCGCACCATCACCCCCAACAGCAGCAGCAGCAGCAGTCGCATCACCACCACCATTATTATTTCTACAACCATAGCCACAACCACCACCACCACCACCATCACCAGCAGCCTCACCAATACCTGCAGCATGGAGCCGAGGGCAGCCCCAAGGCCCAGCCAAAGCCGCTGAAACATGAGCAGAAACACGCCCTCCAGCAGCACCAGGAAACGCCGAAGAAGAAAACAGGTCTGGGAGGGAGGACGGGTGGGGGAAGGGGATGGGGGTGGGGGACGAGGAGATGGGGGTGGGGCTGTGTCTGAAAAGCGCGGACGGGGTCGCGGCGTGCGGGTCCCGCGGGTCGGAGGGGATGGGGGGGGGATGCGCCCTTTCATTTAGGGCGAGCTCGGTCCGGGCAGTTGGCGGGGGGAGGTTGCAGCGCCCTCTCCTTTCCTTCAGCATGGGAGAGGCCCGAGCAGGCCAGCGTGACCTTCCCGGCCCCCGCCTCGGCTTGGAGGGAGACCCGCAGGCTCGGCCTTGGAGGTCCAGCCTTATTATTCCTCTGCGGAATCTGGAGTTACCTTAATATGGGGGGGCCCGAGGGGCGGTGAACCACCCCCCCACAAAAAAAAAAAAGAATGGCTGGAGGTGTAACTCGCGCCGGCCTGGCGAGTCCCGACTCGGGCGGAGTCGCGAGACCCTTTTGCAGGCGGCGAGGGGTGGGTAGGTGGGCTGAGCCGAGGGCGCGTCCTCCCTCACACGCCGCCCCTAGCCCACCTGTGGCCTTGGGGTTCCCCGCGTGTGTGGGGTCGGGGAGCGGCTGGGACCCCTTCCTCCCTCGGGTCCATTTCCACCCCCTAAACGGCCTTTTGTGGGCGCCGGGCCTCTCGGTCTGTCCCCGAGACTCGTCCCGAGGCCGGCGCCCCGGGCCCGCTCCCCCCCGGAGCCGGCGCGGCTGGAATGTTCTCTCCTCCTCGCGGGGCCGCTTCCTGTCCGCCATGTTGGAAGCCGATTCCTGTCACCGACTCCGGCCCGCCGAGAAGCGGAGGGGGAAGGGTGTCGAGGGGCATGCGGCGCGCTTGAGCCGGTGACCCGGGGTGCCCGCCGGCCATCGTCTCGACCCTCCGCCCTCCCCCGCTTTTTTCTTTTCTCTCTCGCCCCCCTACCCCGCACTGCGGGGGCGCCGCCCCTCCCCCCCGTCGCCGGCCGGGTTGTGTAACCCGGTGGCGGCCGCGCGGCCCCGGGCGGGTCCCTGGGGTGAGGGGCGGGGGCGGTTGAGGTGGGGGAGGGAAGCGGCCACGAGGGGAGCGGCCTGCGCCCGGCCCCGCGCGCCCGCCGCCGCGTTTTCCCGCTCCCGGGTGCGGCGGGAGCGCGGGCGGACGGTCGGGGCGGGGAGCCGGCCTCCAAGCGGAGCGGAGGGGGAAGGAGGCGAGGCGAGGCGAGGCCCGGGCGGCGGCGGCGGCGGGGGGATTCGTTGTGGTAGAGGCGGTGCCCGAGGCCGGGTGGGGTATCCAGCGGGAGCCACGCTCCCCGGTCACGAGTTTCTCCGCCACAGGAACCTCGTCTTCTGCCAGGTTCGCTCACGACTCCGCCTCTGAGCCGAGGCTTTCACTTGGGCCTTTTCCTTCCAGCAGCTCCTTTTCTACCAGAAAAACGGAAAAAAACCACGCAAGCCTCGTTCCGCCCGTCTCCCCCACCCGACACGTCCCTTCTGGGTTTGGGGAGTGCCTTGGGAGGGGTTAGACCGCCGGGGAGCTGGGGAGTTGTAGACCCTCGTTCTCGTCCATGAGGCGGGATCACTGCTTCCATCTTGCCTCCGACCGGGCTTTTCCCCGGGTTGAAATGAAAGGTGGCTTTTTTTTTTGCATTTAAAACCGATGTTGAGTCCCAAATTACTAATGGTGACAAACGTTGAGGGTAAAAGTCATGAGGACATACTTGAGAAGAAATGAGCTTAAAAGTTTTATTTCCACAATTGAAAAAAAACAAGGTTTCTGTATAGATGGAAGAGCGAGAGATGATGGAAATGTAAAAAAATAAATCCTGCATGTCAAATTTAATACAGTTAGTGAAAGCTGGAGAAAAACTGCTTTTCAATTGCAGACTGAAATGGGAATGTCAGATTTTACATTTTGGTCAGTGGTGTATGTAAATGTGTTAAGGGTTTAATCGTAGGACTTGGAGCAGCCTAGACCTTATGAACTATATAACATAACACTAGGTCATTTTAACATCGGATTTTTCAAAAGGTGAGAAAATATTGCCTTACAGTTGCTTGGAATGTGAGCACTGTTCCGATTTTAAAATTGTGTTTTATCATTCAGGTCAATATATTGCTGCATAGAGTAGCGGCCCTTGACCATTCAAATATGTCTTATTCTGGAACACTGAATAAGGAGGGAGAAGTTTGTTTAGCAATTCTGAGGGAATGTAAACAATTTGGGGTGAGCAGTTTCTCGTAGGTGACTTGGTCAGTGTGTTCAATGCTTACAGCTAAGAAGTCCTTAAGATACTTTTGAAACATCTGTAATATTTTGAAGGGGGGCTTTTTATGACCATTACCCCCAAACCTATAAAGAGGAACTTTTTCTTTTTCCAGAAGAGGGCGCAAGAGAAGATCAAATAAATGTATTGAGTGATTTTAGTTTCTAATCCAAAAGCTAGGTTTATCAGGACTCAGGTTTTTGCTGAGTCTGTATGAAGTGGAGTTAGCTTGGCAGCTCTTAAAAAAAAAAAAAGTACCAGGAGTCCTTTAATTTCTTTCAGTAATGCTATGTTTACATTTTTCTTATATACTTAAGCTTTAAAAAGATACCTACCTATTTGGCATACTTTTTACATATCCACAAGGTTATCGTGGGGAAAAATTACATAGTTAAATGAGAATTTTTGTGTGCGCATGTGTTAAAACTTGGGAGTTAGAGTATTAGTGGCTTTTGAGGGTCGTCGTCCCGTGTGTGTCCGTCCCCCCCCCCCCCCCCCCCCCCGGCCGTTCCCAGTATAGGGGATTAAACCTAGGGCCTTGTATGTGCTAGGCAGGTGCTCTACCTCTGAGCTACTTCCCCTACCCTTTATATTTTCTTTTGAGATGCTCTGGCTAAGCTGCTTCAGCTGATCTTGAACTTGTGATCCTCTTGTGTCAGCTCCCTGAGTAGCTAGAATTAAGGTAGTGGACCACCACACCCTACTTGAGCTGATACTTTTTTTTTTTTCCTATCCCATTGGTGATTCTGATATCTGAGCCACTAAATACCTAGTAATCATAGGAAAATAATTTACTGAAGAAGTCTTTGGTTCATTGTAATTTGAACACTGCATTTTTTTTTTTTTTTGGTGTGTACAATTGCTCACCTTCAATTGAAATGAAAAGTTATGAGCCAGAGGGTATAAAATAAAACATCTGCTTAACCTGTTAATATATTAAATGGTATGGTAGTTGATGTTTTTGGTCCAGAGTCACACAAGGGTAAAGTTAACATAGTTAAAAAAATATTGAGAGCCTCTGTTTATGAACTTTCTGCTTTTCTTCAAAATAAAATGACACAAAACAAAACCTTAGAAAACATCCTAAGTAGTTTTCTCTTCCCTGTTTCATAGTTAGGATTTTTCCACCAAAACTTTTGATTGGCTTGCATAGCTTTTTCAGCAGCCAAAAACAAATATAATGTTATAGGAGTTCAAATTTCAATGTATTCTCTTATGGTAGAAATTTTGTGTCACTCTGTTTTATGAATGATTATGCCTGTGTGTCTTCTTGCATCATTTCCTGGAAGTTCATACTTCCCAGTTCATAAAGTGTCTTCATTTATTCGTTTTTCAAGTATTTTCCCTTTTCTCTGATGTAAAATAAATGACTTAAAATTTTAGCAAATTCTATTGTGACTCTTTTCAAGACTGTTCTGTTCCATATCATTTTTAGAACAGTGGTAACTCAACTTTTAAAAAAATTGTTTAGTATCCTTTATTAGTGCTCTTAAAATTCAGAGCTTCCAAATGGCTTTTGGGTTATATTGATTGATATTTACCGTGTAGGAAATTAAAGCTGGAAATTTTTTTTAAAAAATATAAATTTGTTCCTTTTAGCTTTTACAGGATAAAAGCACTAACGAAAATGTTAACGGGCAGTTCCTTTTGGACTCCCACCCATGTCTCCTGAAGAACTGCCTTAAATGTGTATTCTACTATGTCTGTTTCTGGTGATTTGACCTTAAGATGCTTTTGTGAACCTTCAATATAAAGGTTGATAACTAATAATCACTATTTTACTAGTAAGAAAAGTAGCGGAGAAAAGTTGTGCTTGACCAGATTGAATCACAAAAAGTAATAGAGTTAAAGGTTTATGGTGGCTAATGACTTTATACGTAAATACATAACACTTTTAAATTTTACATTTCTTTCATTGTAGTTTTGTTAGTAAATACTTTCTTTTGAATAGGCAGTGTTGCACGGTGGTAGGAAATCACGGATTCCACACAGACTGGAGTTCAGGTTTCCAGTTCTGCCACTTTGTGACCTGGACTTTATTTTATCTGCGTCTGTTACCTTAATGTAAAATGAAGAAAACCTATTTTAATAAGGGTTAGAAACACTGTATGGCTGGTAGAGTGCCTGCTTAGCAAGTGTGACATCCTGAGTTCAAACCCTAGTTCTGCCAAAATAGAAACGCTGGTAAACAAGTGTTTTGGTTTCATGTGTTTAGTATGGTCTAACATCAAAATGAATTTGACTACTTCAAGAAAAGTTCACAAGAGTTAGAGCTTTGTCTCATAGTTCCAATGGAAGCTGGACTTACGGTTTCATAGAAATGATGTCTTTAGTCCCCCTGTTCCTGCCCCTTTCTTTTTTCTTAAGTGCTGTTGACAAAATCCCAGGGCCTCATGAGCTAGCTAAGGTTAGAGTGTTTACACCCCCAGTGCTAATTTTCTTTTAGTAGTTACTATATCAGTAAAACTTGGGTTTTACCCACAGGGTAGCCTTTTTTCTGGAATTTGAACTCAGGTCCCTATACCTAGAGCCACTCCACTAGCCCTTTTTTTTGTGGTGGGGTTTTTCATTTGAGATTGGGTCTCACAAACTATTTGCTAAGACTGACTTCAAACCTCTATTCTCTTGATCTTTGCTTCCTGAGTAGCTAGGATTACCAGTGTGAGCCACTAGCACCTGGCTAGAACTGCTCTTAATTGTAAAGAAAATTCCATAATGGCTTTGTCACAGTGGTGGGTGGCTTGATTCTGTGAGATGGAGGGTTATTAATGGCATACTGATTAAGAGGTCATGTTCGCTTTGATCTCAGATTTTGGTTTGAATCATGACATTTCTGCCTGTTTGCCTAGCAGTAGATTCCATGTTCTAATCTGTAAAATGGAGCTGACAAGTTTCTTTTCATAGAGATGTGAAATGACATAGGCTATAGCTCATAATGTAGTGTCTAGCATATAGTAGATAGTTCTTAAACGTGAGGTACAACTGGAATTTAAATGTGATTTTAAAAATATTTTTTTTCTTCTTGTAGGCTATGGTGAAATAAATGGTAATGCTGGAGAAAGAGAAATATCTTTAAAGAGCCTCGGTTCTGATGAAGCCACCAACCCTATTTCCAGGGTCCTCAATGGCAACCAGCAAGTTGTAGACACTAGCCTGAAGCAGACTGTAAAGGCTGGCACCTTTGGAAAAGCAGGAATTAAAGCCAAGAATTTCATCCAGAAAAACAATATGGACAAAAAGAATGGGAAGTCTTACGAAAAGTCTGGAGAGAACCAATCTGTAGATAAGACCGATATTGCAGTGATTCCAAATGGTGTTGTAACAAATAATTCAGGCTATATTACTAATGGTTATATGGGCAAAGGAGCAGATAATGATGGTAGTGGATCCGAGAGTGGATATACTACTCCTAAAAAAAGGAAAGCTAGACGCAATAGTGCCAAGGGTTGTGAAAACCTTAATTTAGTGCAGGACAAAATAATGCAACAAGAGACTAGTGTCCCATCCTTAAAACAGGGACTTGAAACTTTCAAGCCTGACTGCAGCGACCAAAAGGGAAATCGAGTAGATGGTTCCAAGCCCGTTTGGAAGTATGAAACTGGGCCTGGTGGAGCAAGTCGAGGAAAACCTGCAGTGGGTGATATGCTTCGCAAAAGCTCAGATACTAAACCTGGTGTGAGCAGCAAAAAGTTTGATGATCGGCCCAAAGGAAAGCATGCCTCTGCTGCTGCCTCCAAAGAGGACTCATGGACCTTATTTAAACCACCCCCAGTTTTTCCAGTGGACAATAGCAGTGCTAAAATAGTTCCTAAAATAAGTTATGCAAGCAAAGTTAAGGAAAACCTCAACAAAACTATACAAAACTCTTCTGTGTCACCATCTTCATCTTCATCCTCTTCGTCATCTACTGGGGAAACTCAAACCCAATCTTCAAGTCGGTTATCCCAGGTCCCTATGTCAGCGCTAAAATCTGTTACTTCTGCCAACTTTTCTAATGGGCCTGTTTTAGCAGGGACTGATGCAAGTGTGTATCCTCCAGGGGGTCAGCCACTGCTAACTACTGCTGATAATACTTTAACACCCATCTCTTCTGGAACTGATTCAGTTCTTCAGGACATGAGTCTAACTTCAGCAGCTGTTGAACAAATTAAGTCTAGCCTTTTTATCTACCCTTCAAATATGCAAACTGTGTTGTTGAGCACAGCACAAGTCGATCTGCCCTCTCAGACAGATCAGCAAAACCTGGGGGATATCTTCCAGAATCAGTGGGGTTTATCATTTATAAATGAGCCCAGTGCTGGCCCTGAGACTGTTATCGGAAAGTCATCAGATCATAAAGTGATGGAGGTGACATTTCAAGGAGAATATCCTGCCACTTTGGTTTCACAGGGTGCTGAAATAATCCCCTCAGGAACTGAGCATCCTGTGTTTCCTAAGGCTTATGAGCTGGAGAAACGGACTAGTCCTCAAGTTCTGGGTAGCATTCTAAAACCTGGGACTACTAGTGAGAGTGGAGCCTTACCCTTGGAACCCAGTCATATAGGTGACCTGCAAAAAGCAGACACCAGTAGTCAAGGTGCTTTAGTGTTTCTCTCAAAGGACTATGAGATAGAAAATCAAAATCCTCTGGCCTCTCCTACGAACACTTTGTTAGGCTCCGCCAAAGAACAGAAATACCAGAGAGGCCTAGAAAGGAATGATAGCTGGGGTTCTTTTGACCTGAGGGCTGCTATTGTTTATCACACTAAAGGTAATTGTTTTCTTATTTGAATATTCTTGTTCTTAATACACTGATACTAATTGTACTAACAGTAAATGTAGGAAATTCTGAGATTCTTTAAGAATTCCAGAGCTTAGTTGATGTCAGGATGGATAAACAGGATCAAAAATATATATATATTTTTAAAATTTTTTTGATGGTACTGGGGTTTGAATGCAGGGCCTCTCACCCTTGCTAGGCAGGTGCCCTACCACTTGAGCCACTGCCAGTTCCTTACAATCGAATTCTTCCAGATCTTTGGAAATAGTATACTTAAAGTTTAGAAGTAAGATTCATCTTCCCATTATAAAAGCTTTTTATTTTTATGTAGAGGGGAATTTTTGGGGGGGAGGAGGGGTCTGGTTCAAAGAATAGAGGTGTGAATATGGAGTGGAGAACCTTGCCTAAAGAGATGACCTTAACATTTTTTCTTGAATACTTGTAAGAGTTTACAATTTTCTTTAAACAGATAATCTGCATTTCATATCACATGCTACTTTATTAGTGAAGCATTTAATAGTTGTACTTTGCTTAAAATGAGTAGATGTAGTAATGTTTTTGAAGAGTCTTAAGGTGGCATGTCAAACTTTCTCTCTTAGAAATAGTGGGTGCTGAATGGTAACTAGAAAGTAATATACATAAACTACGATAGCAAGCACATTCATTCCTCAACATTGTAGAGACCATGCTCTTGGAGTCTGCTTTCATAGCCCCAAAACCTTGTAAGCAGAAACTGCTGCTGGATGTGGTGGTGGTGGTGTGTACCTGTAGATCTACCAACTTGGGAGTCTCAGGCAAGAGGACAACTTGAGCCCAGAAGTTGGAGGCCATTTGACCATTTTTTATAAAAGTAATCTTTCAAGTTCCATGCTAATAATTTTCTTCTAATATAATTTGTATCTTAAAACATTTTCTGAACGGCATGAGTAAGTCCTTAAGACCAAGTAGTGTCAGTGAATGATTCTTTCCTTTTGCTTTTGAGAACATTGGCTTTCAATTTTCCCACCTTTTCTACCTCATCTCTTCCCCCTTCCCTGACAAAGCTGAGCCCCATATGTGCATGCACACTAGTATGTACTGTATATTCCCAGTCTTGTTTTGTTTTGGGGGTTGTTTTGTGTTTTTTTTTTTTTTGGCGGCACTGGGGTTTGAACTGAGGACCTCACACTTGGCTAGACTGGTGCTCCTATCGCTTGAGACACTCTGCCAGCCCTTTTTGTATTGGGTTTTTTTCAGGTCTGTTTGCCTGGGTCTGGCCTTCAACCAACCGGGATCCTCCTGATTTTTGCCTCATGAGTAGCTAGGATTACAGGCGCAAGCCACTGGTGCCTGGCCATTCCCAGTTTTTAACACTGGCTCACTTAGTGACTTGCAACTGCAAGAAAGAGGGGAGCATATCAGATTGTAGGGATGAGGTAATTGCCATATTCTTCCTGGAAGAAATTGCCTCAGAAGAATAGTAAATCTATTGATGTGATTTTTAAAGCAGATTACCTAGTCTTCATGTCTTTCTTCATATTTTTTCTCTTTTAAAGTATGGTAGTAAGTAGAGTTGATTTATGAAAGCTTAAAAGTAGAAATCCTTGCAGGTGAAGTTTACCTGTCTTTCTTGGACTCTACTTCTACTGTTTGGAAGTAAATGTGAGTTAACTAGGAGCTATATGTTAGGAAAGTAGGGCAAAAAAAAAATGCTTTCTTTTTTAATATATTAAATTTTGCCTGGTAGTTCAGTGTTTTTAGTGTCATTTTCTGTGCCACCTGCCCTCCAGAAACTCTTAAAAAATTTTCACCGAAATTTCTTGTCCTTCATGGTTATTATATTAGCCTGGTAAGACATGTCATTTTGTTAAATTCTTTCACCACCTCCAAAAAATTGAGACTTGTTGTTTTAGTAGATGGTTTTACTTATTTATTTTTAAGAGACTCACTTTTTCTCCAAGCTAGCCCTGAATGAATTTTGGGCGTGTGTTTGTGTGTGTGGGACAGTTGCTGGGGATCAAACACTGATCCTTTCTCATACTAGGCAAACATTCTACCACATCCCTCAGTCATGATTTTGTTTTGAGAAAGGGTCTCACTACATAGCCCAGGCCAGCCTCAAACTGGCAATTCTGTCTCAGTCTTCGAACACTGGGATAATGGGTATGTGTCACCTTTCCCAGCTTGGTGTTACCTCTCCTCCACCCCCTTTTACTGGTATACAAATCAGAGCCTTGTACTTAAGAGCACCCTACCATTTGAAACATGCCTCCATCCCTTCTTGCTTTTGTTACCTTTTAGATAAGCTCTGAGTCTGGGCTTGCCTTGAACTGCAATCCTCCTACCCCCCCACCTTGCTAGTAGCCACCTTTCTTTTTAAATGTAGAATTATAAGCCTTTTAAAATGGAATCTTGGCCTTTTGCATGTATTTCTAATTGATCTATATGCATATTCTTTATAGATGGTCTACCTAAAGGTTTTTTATTTTGCTTTTTTTTTTTTTCGACAGGATCTTACTATGGTAGCTCAGGCTGAACATCTCACTGTACATAACTAAATATGAGATCAGTGGTATAAGTAAACTAAATCTCCCTACATAGGTGAAGTTATGTTTTTTTTTGGTGGTACTAGGATTTGAACTCAGGGCTTTGCATTTGCAGAGCAGGTACTGCACCACTTGAAGTACACATCCAGTCCATTTTGCTCTGGTTACTTTGGAGGTGTGGAATCTTGCAAACAGCTATTTGCCCAGAGTGGCCTGGACCCTCAATCCTCCTGGTCTCAGGCTCCCAAGTAGCTGGATTCTAGGCGTGAGCCCCTGGACAGTTGATAACTCTTGCCCAGAACACATAGCTCGTGCCTCCTTTACCTAACTGTTGCCTCCTTTGAAGTAGTCAGAATACTCAGTTTAGTACAGTTCTCTTTCGTTTTTAGAGACTTCTAACTGTAGATCCTAACTTTTTTGAGATGAACCTTTGATCTTGAAATGGTCTGAGGTAAGATAGTCACATGAGATGTGTCTGGTTGAAATGCTAGTATTGCACTGAAACATGTCAAGCATTTGAAGTGCTGACATTCTGGGCTATTTGTTTAAAAACAATTAAATATGTTAAATTTGACCTAGCACACAGAAGCAGGGGAGGTGAATGAGATTTTTACTTTATAGGTGGGATTAGTGAGACAATATGAAATCTATTGAGTTTGTAAATTTAAGCATTTCTGCTGTCCTTAAAGTTTTGATGTCCTTTTTCTTTAATCAGCCGAGTGCCTTTTCTATAGATGGAGCAGCTAGCTACTACTATGAAAATACTCCTTAGGCAACTCTAGGCTCTTAGACAAATTTTTGTTGTATTTATTTGGTTGTACTAGGATTTGAACTCAGGGCGTCATGCTTGCTTAGGCAGGTGCTCTACCACATGAGTAACTGTGCCAGTCCTGTTTTGTGTTGAGTATTTTTGAGATAGGGTCTCCAGAACTATGCCTCAGGCTTGCTTTGAACTGCCATCCTCCTGATCTCTGCCTCCTGGATAGTTAGGATTACAGGTGTGAGCCACCAGCACCCTTTTTATTACCTTCAGGTGGCAGGTTATCAGCATAGACAGTTTGATTTCACTAGATTTGCATTTGCCCCTGGGATGAAAAAAAAATTAATTCACTTGGTGGTTCTAATTTGGAACCATAGGTCTGAGTTTTCCTTAGCTTAATCCATTTGTTTTTTCTTTACTCTGCCACTTCTATACTCTGCTAATGGATTTCTGTATTCTAAGGAATTGAGCAATAACTTGGAAGTTAAGGTTAGTTGATAGATAAAGCCGACTAGTTGACCCTTAGGATGGATTTGAATTGTAGGGGTTCACTTAAACACAGTAGTGAGTTTTGTTTTCTTTTGGTGCTTTTGGGGTTTGAATTTGACTTCGTAGATTGGTAAAGAATCCCTGTTTTTCTCTATACTATAGACACATAGGAATGATTATGGTAAATAACTCCTAACATGGTATAAGAACCCTATTGATTGCCAGTTTAGTATCTGTATTGACTGCTTGATTTCTCATTCCACATGCCTTAGAATGAATTCACTGTACTAATCTGAAAGTCCACTTGTAAGGATTTTATAGAAGCTGAAGTTTGACCTGGAGTTTTTACTAGCTTAAGTCCTGCGGATAAGGGAAATAATCACCCATGCTATATAAAAGCAGAAACGATATTACGGTAACAGCAAAAGCAGGATTTGTCTGTTACTATCATAGTAGTTACATTCCAAGGAACTTGATTAGTGTAGTCTTAGAAAAGAAAAATAACAAAACCAGCTTGAGTTCCAGTTTCTGTTGTGGGCAGTTAGAGGTGATCCATATAATTACACTTTGGTTGACTGTGGCTTCTAATTGGGAAATAAAATCAAAATTGATGTGAAGGAAGCATTAATTAAGCATCTACTGAAAAGTAGGTGACTTAAATCAGTTACTTGAAGACATGCTATATTTCTGTTTGGTTATAATCAAACTGAAAAAGGATGGGAAAATTTTTTGAAGAGCTTCATACAGTGTGTTCAGTTGACAGGTTGAAAAAGGACATTAGGCAAGGGTGTGGGGACATCTAGTAATCATTGGGCAGATGTGGGTTAGAAGAGAAAATACATCCATGTAGTTTTGACCTACAAAACTAGCAATCTCAAGGATCAAATCTCTTAAAGAAAAAGACTGAAGCTAAGAAGGCCAAAGCCATCTTGAAACATTTCCCATGTTTATTATCAAATTTCAAGGAATTTGGTACAAAATGAGAGTGGAGGACATGATAAGTGGCCAGTCGATTTGGTGTTCTGGATTGTGGAAGTTAGTTTGGATTTATGTATTCACTTTCTTTTTTTCAAGGTAGCTGATGTGCTATGGTACTAATTTAGGTCTTTTTATTTTTTGCAGTATTGGGGTTGGAATTCAGGACTTCATGCTTGCAAAGCAGACACTCTACCACTTGAGCCACACCTCTAGTCCATTTTGTGTTAGTTATTTTGGAAATGGGATCTCCAGAACTCTTTGCCTGGGCTGCTCTCATACCATAGTCCCCCTGATCTCAGCTTCCCAAGTAGCTACAGGTCTGAGTCACTGGCGCCTTGACCCATTGTTCAGTTTTATTTTATTAATTATTTTGGTGGCAGTACTGGTGCCTCTATCACTTGAGCCACTCTGCCAGCCCTTTTTTGTGAAGGGTTTTTTCGACATAGGAGTTCTTGGAACTATTTGCCCAGCCTGGCTTTGAACCGTGATCTTCCTGATCTCTGCCTCCTGAGTAGCTAGGATTATAGGTGTGAGCCACTGGCGGCCGGGGCCACCAGCCCTTTTTTGTGTTGGGTATTTTTCAGATAGGGTCTCACGAATTATTTGCCTAGGGCTGACTTCAAACCACGATCCTTCTGATCTCTAAGTAGCTAGGATTATAGCTACTTAGCTATAATCACCTGGTTCTATTATTCAATTATTTTATTTTTATCTTTTAAATATATTTTTTGGCGGCACTGGGGTCTGAACTTGGGGCCTCATGCTTGCTAGGCAGGCACTCTGGCCATTGTATTCAGTTTTAAAAACAAAAATTTATTTTGCAGCACTGGAGTTTGAACTTAGGGCTTCATGTGCAAGTGCTCTACCACTTGAGGCACACTTCCAGGCCTTTTTGTTTTTATCGTCACTTTCTGCCATCACTTGGATGACAGTCACACCATGCTCACCTTTTTTCCATTGACAGCTGTATGGCTATATTCTCACTTTTTGTTACAGTTCATTTTGTTTACTGAGTAGTTTTTGTTTAATGTCCAAGTATTTCAAGGTCTTACTTCTTTGGTTCTTGTAGAGTAAGTCATCTGCTGTCCATATTCATCAAGACTTGTTATCTACTGTAAAGTAGACTTCTTAATTGCCTTTTCTCACTGTAGTTTGGCCACGTACATACAAGTAAGCATGTAGAAGTTTTAAGGTGGTCCAAATGAGAATTGCGTTATTTAGGAACAAATAGAAATTGTGTTATTAGCAAATGAGTATGGGTTAGCATTTTGACCTTTATTGGTTAAAAGACACGTAGGTGTGGTTTAGAGGTCAAAACCACTGCTTCGGTGCTTGAACTAAGTAAACATTGAATTTGATAAATGCTTTGTTTAAAAGACTTATATCATTAATTGATAAGGGATAAGTTGCCAGAAAGTACTTGGTTTTTGTCTTTTTTTTTTTAATAACAATGAGCTGTTGTAAGAAACAGCATTTGAGCTATAATATGCTTCTGCATATCTTTGCTATTTTTGAATGTAAAATTGTGCCGATATCAGATAAATTGGGTCTTTTTTGTAATTATCACTTTTGACAATCCTGATGGTACTTCAGAATTATTTGAAAATTTCAGTGGTTTGCATTTCATAGAATTGTGCTATTTTCAACCCTCTTCTTAGCCCAGCAGTAATCAGCCTAGTTTTTTTAGATTGAAACTTGGTGTATAAAATAATCCTTTTTTTTTCCTTTGCAGAAATGGAATCTATTTGGAATTTGCAGAAGCAAGGTAAGAATGGTTAGATTACTTGAAATGATACCACTAAGTAGTAATTGTATACTTTTTTTAAGCGGGAATAACAGTTGAATACTGACTTACCAAATAAACACACTTTGTATTTTGTGCTAACTTTATAACTATAGTTGAAAGGCACTAGTTGCTGTATCAGGACTGCTAAGGATGAGTACCATTGTAAGTAGAAAGAGTGTATAAAAAAAATTCTACCTGTTGTATGAAGAGGATAAATAGTTTTTCCACTCTGATTATGAATGTTAAAACAGGGTTAAAGGTGTAGCTCAGTAGTACAGCATGTTTTTTTTAGCATATGTAAAGCCTTAGGTTTGATTCTAGGGAATGTTTCTACTTTTGTCCAGTCTCTATCTGTATTTGTGTGGTAAACAAGGGATAGTCTAAGAACTGAAATTAACAGCTCAGGATAATTGTAACTATTATAGAAACCTTGTCTGGGCTGTTTATTTTCTGAAAAGGTGTTCAGAAATATAAAGACCAGCACATTAACTTTTGAACCTCCCATAAGATAGCAGGAAGATTGATGGACAGGATTGAAATTCTCAGAAAGTTAAAGTCTGATTATCCTAATTAATGTTTGCCTTCATATTTAAGATATGGTATGTGTGGAACACATGAATAAAATTTTGATTTGTCACTGTCTTAATAGATTGGGTTTTCAGAACCCCGAAATAGAATTGAATCCCATTTCCCAACTACTTTGCTAGTTATTATAAATGAATTTCAGATGGATGTACAATTCTAGATTCTCTTCTTATTTTATGTATTAGGAAATTGAGGCACAGAGTTTACTACATAAGCTAGAATGTCAGAACTAGAATATAGGTTGCCCTGATGTCCTAACATTGCTCCTTGTTTCTTAATGTCAAGATTTTTTTTTTCTCTCACAACTGAAAATAACTAGCAAACTCTTAAATTATTTTGAATGCTTTCTATGAACCTTCAAAACAAACACAAATGGAAAAAAGAACAGAGTAGAAAAAAGTGCTAATTAGAACTCAGGGCTTTATGGATGCTAGGCCAGTGCTCTATCTACCATTGTTTTACACCCCCCACTCTAGATAAACTGAGATGAGTTTGAATTCTTCAGTATTTGCAGATCTTTATAATTTTCAGTTAAGTGACATATTTTATTGATTTGTCTTATTTCTTATTAAAGCATGTATATACTTTTAACAAGTTCTTAGGATAGGTAGAAATAGTATGTAATAAAAATCTCGCTTCTCCAGAAGAGGAAAGTAATGCAGCTAAATAATGGTGATGTAGAATAGTCCAGGTATCTTTGTCCAGACATATTCTGGCAGATTTATTTGTTTGTTTGTTTATTAATTGTTTGGCAGTATTGTGGTTTGAACTCATGGCTTTACGCTTGCAAGGCAGGCACTGTACCACTTGAGCCAATCTCTAGTCCTTTTTGCTCTGGTTATTTTAGAGATAGGGTCTTGCTCTTTGCTCTGGCTGGCTGGAATGGCAGTTCTCCTGCTCTCAGCTTGCCAAGTAGCTAGGATTATAGACACCTACTGCTGGTACTCAGCTATTGGTTGAGATTGGATCTCACAAATTCTTTGCTCTGACTGATCCTCCCCATCTCAGCCTCCCAAGTAATTAGGATTATAGGTAAGAGCCACCAGTGCCTGAGCAGTTTTATATTTTAAGCCCAGAATATATATAGGCCTTTTTTCTTTTTCAGTAATGGGAATTGAATTTAGGGCCTCTCACATGTTAGACATTGCTCTATCAACAAGTTACACCTTCAGCCCCTACTTTCACTTTTGCTGAGAATGAGAAAAATGGTAGTATCATGAAAAATAAGAATAAATAAGTCATGATTAGAACTAAATTGATAATTGCACCAAACTGGTTTGATATGAAGTGTTTGATGGTAAGTTTTGCTTGAACTGTTTCTTGCTGTACAGTCCATAATGGTTAGAATAAATTTTGACCTCAAGCTGAGCATGATAGTATGCAATGAGAATCCAGCACTTAGATAGGCTGAGACAGGAAGATGCTTAGTTTGAGGCCTGCCTGGGCTGCATTAAACAAACAAACAACCAAAAGCAAAAAAAAAAATTGCTGAAGAGAAGGAAAAAATATATATATAATCCAGGTGTTTAAAAAAAGTATTTAAATTGTTTTAACAAGGACGGGGGACAATTTAAATGCTGATTATTTGGGATTTGGTTTTGTATCATGGACATTTTGGGATTCCAGACCTCAATTAAAAAAAATTTTTTTTTTAACCTTCCCTCCAGATCCAAAAAGGATAATCACTTACAATGAAGCCATGGATAGTCCAGATCAATGAAGGACCAGACTGCCTATTTGTAACCTTTCTGCAGCATTAGAGCCACCGTTCATGGGGGACACAAGGCTTTTATGCTCCTAGATCTTCAACGCAGCAGAGGAACCATAAGTAGAATCACAGGATAATATATACAAATATATATATATACATATATATATATAGTTATTTAAAAAAGGCAACTGAAAGTAATTAGACTTCTTAAGGAATCAAATTTATTTCAAGAGACTACACATGGTTATTTAATCTCCGGTACTGAATAGTTTTTTTCTTTTTTTCTTTTGTTAGTTTTTGTTTTTAAGTGTGAATGCAAGTGATTAATGAATACAGACTTAACAAGCGTGGTTCTAAAGTTCCTGCTGTCATCACCTTGGGCAACAAATGACCCACTGGAAAGGCAAATCCACTTAAGATCTCTGTATCTTGTTCTGTGACTAAAGTGATACACTAATCACGGGGAACCCAGAATGATTCAACATTTCCCCCCACTCCTCCCTTTTACTTTAAACCCTGCTAGAATGCTGGATCAATGCCTTGAAATTTGCAGGGGTGTACTTTTTTTTTTTTTTTTTTTTTTTTTTAAGCGAATATGATTTGCATGTCTTGCCAGGAGTTAAGCAGCCTCTGTGGGGTGTTGGGGAAATTTTCTTTCCTTATATTTTTTATGGGGTGGGATAGGGGAGGGCATCGAAGTTCTACAATTCTGGAATAGTTGGTACATAGTTAACTTGCTTCGGTTACATGACTTTTAACAACTGAAGAATCCTTGAGTGTCATTTAAAGAAAAGTTGCAGAACAAGCAGTTGGCTTAGTTATGAAAAAAAATATTCCCGTGCCCATATTTTAAATGTAATTATATAACTGGGAGCAAAATATATTCGCTTTTCAATTGTAGGTGCTCCAGAGTTGCTCTGTCACTAACACTAAATGTGCAGTTTTCTTATTTTTCATCACAGCTAAAAGAAACTTATGTACCTTTCTGTAATTTCTCTTTTAATGTCCCAACAAAATCTAAAAGAGGAAGAAAAAAGCCCATGAAAATGTTCATGTTTTTAGGGAGCGAGTAAGTAATAAACCCTGCTTTATAGAAGATGTGTTTTCATGCAAATTATACTTCTGAGCTTATTAGCTTCTAATTATATCTTAATAAATATATTTTATTACTAGAGCAAAATGGGTTTTTAAGGAAAATAATGTGAAATTCTGAAAGTTTTCTTTTGGGCAGAGAAGAGCATTAGCCCTGTCTTATCATCACATTGCCATCCTGTTGCACTGCAGCTTGTGTATAGCATGCTAAAATAAATTTTTGTGTGTGTGTGTGTGTGTGTGCAGAAACTAAGGGTCCAATTTAAGATTGGGTGATGTTAGTGGCATAATAACAAGTTTTCTGGCCTGACATAGCATCACATCACACACACATAAACACACAGAAATTAGTATATCCATGTATGTCAAATACAGGTTAAAATAGCAGGGCATTTATATAGAATTGTAGTCTTCTAATAAAAGTAGACTGGATCCCTTGGGGTATTTGGGGAGAAAATAACTACTTTTGCTCTTACCCTTTTGCTTAAAAAAAAAAAAAACAAAAAAAAAAAAACAACCCAGTTTTGAGCGATTGTAGTATGGATGGGTTTTCTTGTTTTGTTGATTATTTGAGTCTCTTAACAATAGTTCATGAAAGAAGCTGTTGGACTGAAAGTAGAGAAAATATCTTTTTAGTCTGGATTTCTGCCCTGCTTAGATTTTTTAAAAGTATAAGCATGGATTGCCAATTCCACTTGATGTAAACAAAACTTTTTATACGTTATATATATATATATATACACATATATATATATACATATATGTATATATATACATATATATATATAATAACTTATTGTATCAGTCCAGGTTCAAAAACTTGTGGTAGGCCAGTTTCAGATAGTTTTCATTTCACCTGTAAACTGTATCACTTTTACTGATATTGTAATTTTCAAATGTATAATATGTTTACAGATGTGCCCTGCATTTAGTCTGCCTTGTTCCTATTTTGATTTTTGTTGAGTCTCCTGCCTGCTTGCCAAAAGCTAGGATGCTTCAGGCCCATGTACAATTGAAAGCAGAGGCATCCTTGAGCTTTAAAGCATTGAACAAACTGGAAAATGCAACATATACCACATACTGAAGTGAAAAAAGAGTCTGTGTTTTTGTGTTTTTTTAAATAAAAATTTTCAAAAAGTTTTAAAAAAATAACGTTGATTAAAGGAAAAAAAAAAAAAAGACTCCAGTTTGTTTTACAGGTTTTAAAGTTCTGCTGTGTGTTCAATTGCCTTGTGTAACCACTTGTCGCCTTAGGGCCAGATCCCACCCCCACCCGTTTTTAAATGTCCATTTGCTTGCCTCGAATTTTAAAGTTCTTCTGTCTCACAACTCACAAGAAACTTTCTGGGTTTGTGACATAACAGGTCGAGTGAACATATTCAAAAAGAAAAACAAAACAAGAATCCAGCCTCCATCTGAATTGGGCTTTTTAACTTAGAAGCAACACTTAAATAAATACCTTTAGAAAGCCTTCACTTAATTCCCTTTCCATATCCCTCAAGCCTTTGTTCAGAGAAGCTAAAAAGAGAATGTATCCCTTCTCTTGTTTGTCCAAAGGTTGTTTTTGAGAGTCTCACTTCTAAATGAAACAATACAACATTTCACTTTGATTTCTCCACTGAAATTTTCTTGATAGTATGGTTGGAGGTATACAGTAGTTAGGAATGAATACCTCTTAACCTTCTAAGAACCATAATGCTCCATCATACTGTCAGTATTTGGGGGGCATTAGGTTAATGCACTTAATTGCCTAGGTACAAGCAGGACTTCGGGACAGAACTCCTTTGTGCTATTCAGTTATATCTAACTACTTGTCGTAATCTTTCTCCTTAGGTCCTCACGCAATTCCTTACAGAGCACTTATTAAAAATCTTGAGAGTTGATCTGTTTTCTGATTATTTTTGTGTAAGCTTCTAAACAAACTTCAGCTGTGATTAATTTAGTACATTTAAATAACTTATTGTTGGCATAAAGAATTTTCCTTCAACTCAGAGTATTAGTACTGTAGCATAAACCAAATACAGTCTAGAGGGGATTTTTAACATCCCTCCATTAAAAAGACTGAAAAAGGTGTGTGTGTGTGTGTGTGTGTGTGTGTGTGTGTGTGTGTGTGTGTATAGATGTGAATGTATGGATGTGTGTTGGGTGCTTGTGAGGGAAGGATGGAGATTAAAAATAGTAGATGAATGTGTAAGACATTAGTATTCAGAGAATGAAACTTGTATTTATTTTGTGCCATTTGTTTTCATTACATGGAATAAAGTCAGGTGGTTTAAATCCTTAAAAAGGTAGTATTTGAAAAATGGCACTAAGGATGAAATCATGACCTATTTTTTTAATAGCTATGAAGATACTAATTATGGGCGAAGTTTTCCTTTTTAAATTTGTCTTGTAGGCTTGTGTCACATACCACTCACTTTTGTGTAGATGTCTTGAATAAACCCCTTTCCCCACAAAAGACAGGGTGTATTTATCTCTTTATTCATCCCCACTTTGCTGAAGTTGTCTAGTCGTCTAACCTTAATGTAATGAACCTTCACATAGAGTATTCACTGCATCTATAGTAGCCCTCCCTCCTCCACTTTCTAGGAGGAGATAGCCAATAGCTAGACATTGGTTAATGACATTTTGGTATTTTTCTTGAAACAAATGAGTTTCCATTAGGGTTTTGCCATCCTTAATTATCTGCTTACCCTCAGTCATCACTCAGAATCTGCAAAAACTATATAATGGGAAAAAAAGTGCTGCATTGCTTTTTCAAATAACAGTTTTTAGGGAAATAATGACAAACCTCCACTATGGGAGTTGTCTACAATATAAAATGTTTCTTCACAAACTGATAAAGCAGCAGTAGTTCTATAGTCATTAGGTTACTGCTCACCCACATCAGAGGCATTAGATGTCTCTAAAAATCATTAGATTTTCCTTTTTTTTTTTGAGACAGGGTCACTGGCCTTGAACTCAATCCTGTGATTGTAAACTTTTAAAAACACAAAGCCATTTAGTGTGGAATTGCATGTTAAGTACCAAATGTCCAAGGCAAGCTTAAAGAGTACTCATTCAAATTCCATAAAGTAAGGGAGTATTTCTTGCAAGGCTTTCTATAAAGAAATAGGTTAAGATTCAAATTTCTCCAAGGGTTATGGGGATAGTTATGCCACTGGACCACATCCTCAACACGTGATCCTTTTATATATGCTGTGGAGAACTGATGTACTGTAGTGGGACAAGTACATACATAGTTTCTGTGATAATGTCTGTTGGTGCTGCACCCATCAAGGTAGATTCTGATAGGATAGTGTCTTTAGTAGCCCTACTCATAACTTGGATTTTAAAGGAAAGAGAGGGTAGGATTTGCTTTAAATCCAAAATACTGAAAAAGGAAGGGGCAAAACTAGAGAAGCATAAATAGCTGCTGTTTGCCAGAGGCACAGGTGAACATTAGTTCCTGAAACTCAATGTTATTGACAGCATCAGGGTTTTTATTGTGAAAAAAATTGGGCTTCTGCTTGGATATCTTAAAATGTTTCATCTTAAACAGTCTGTTAAGATGTGTGAGAACTAGGACCATCCTGGGTTGGTTTAAAGAAAGATGAATCATTGGCTCCATTCAAAAACACTTCTTTACTGAGTTTTAAATTTCACACTTTTGCTACTCAATAAAGGTCTTAAGGTAGTTAAAAGATGCCAGCATCCATAATAAAAGCACCTGGTGAAGCATTGCTAGAATGTCAAATAGCATTTACAGGCTGGAAACTGGAACAACCATCTTCACGTGATGGGATTGTCGACTCAGACTTCGCTGTTCACAAAATTTTGTTAAGTCCAGAGTTCTGAAGCCATTTTATAATATTGCAGTATCCCTTTTGTACAGCCTTATTAAAAGTAGCTACGATTTTTTCTTCAGCTCAGTTTCTTTTACTGTGTATCAGAATTGTACTCTACAGACCAACAAACCAACTTGAGGTAAATTACATAGCTTTCAATGTACCCTTTTGTCCCTCAGGTGCTAAACAAAGGCTCCAGAAATGGATACTGCTTTAGTAACATCTGCTTTACTAAAATGCATTATTTCTCTTGCTAAATGTAAAGGTTTGGTGTTAACAAAAATGGTTTTAATATGTAAAAGTAAATGAATGCCTTCAGTTTGTCTTTGTTACTAGTTTTTCACTTATCCTTTATAGAGGAGGATCTTTTCATGATCTTGAATACATTTCATTAGGTATTGTTGCATTTTTAGAATGAAAATACAGCGTTTCTGTCTTACGATAAGCCTGCTGCTGCTATAAGTACCTAAAAATCAAGAATGTGATGCACTTTTTACATTACTAAATTCAGTACATATACAGGTTTCTTTTTCTGTAGCACAGCCACTAACAAAAATGAAATGATAATTCTCTTTGGGGAGGGAATCAGTACAAGTAACTAATCCACATAGTTGGTATTGATCTATGAAGGACAATAACTTAGGAAAATAAAAATTCTGTTTAATATTAAACTTTTTGGCCTTAAAATGTCTTCTACCACTGAAAACATTTTAAATCTTAGCTTTGTTTCTTTTACTCCCTCTCTCTGCCTCAAAAAGAATTGAGAAGAATGACTTAAAAGAAACAGTGTCATTGATTTGTTGCTCATCTTTTAGAAGGAAAACAATCATCTGTTGTAAAACCTAAGGTCTTTTTGTTTGTATACAGAGAAGTAAAGCTATTCTGAACCAGTCAATTTAGTTCAAGTTCCAACTATTGCTTCTCCAACATACTTAGCAATGGTTAACTTAAGTATAACAGGAATGCTACTTGACAAAAAGGAAAAGTCATTTCTCAAGCACATACCCAAGCATCAAGAAGATGGAACCCAAAATGATGGAGGGGTGGGGGGGGGGAAGACACCAAAATGAAATGGAGGAGTATGAGAAAGATGTGTGGTCCAAAGTTACTTGGTTATATTTTGATGTTGCCAATATTGCAGAGCCAAAATTTTAATTTGCTTATTTAATATATTTGTTGGCCAGAGATCTATTTTTATATCAATGTGCCTTGCATGTATATTTAAAAAATCTGAAAAGGCCATGTAGTAATGCCTGAGATAGTTGATGGTTCTTACCACCTCACTGCTTTTTATGCAGTATAAAATGCTCATTCTGTTGCACAACTGGTGCTCTGTTAAAAGTTACAGATCTCAAACTGGAACTATTTTATAAGTTGGGGAAGTGACTCACTTTTTCAGTTTATATTTGTTTTTAGTCTGTTAGTGGCTGTTGTGTAGTGGAAAATAGTAAAAAGGATTCTAAACTTTTTTTCCCTCCCCCCTCAGCACCTTCAAGCAATGTGATAATACCATTTCTTGTGTGCTTTGAAAAAAATTTCAGCTTGCTGTCTCCTTTAGTGTTAAAAAAAAAAAGTGTTATTAAAAGCTTGTTTGCAAAATGTAGGGAGAAGATGGAGTCCACGTTAATTTGGGATTCTTTGTGAGCTTTGATCCACGTTATTGGCATTTTTCAACTTAAAAATTTTTATTGTTAAAGCACCTTGCTTAGAAATTTTTGAATATTTATGTCTGCAGCAATTGTCTCAAAATAATAAACTGTGCAATTCTTGTCATTAAAAAAAAAAATCTGAACTCTCCCTAATGTGACTTGTTAGTTTCTCTGTATTTCCTGCCAGTGTAAATGTGAAAAGCTTTGCTTGCATTACGTTTTAGAAATGCATTTTGCACACTCGATTTTGCTGAAGTTCCGTGAAAAGGTTAGCTCTAAGAAGAATAAAGCTATGCACATGTTTTGAAAGTTTAATTTGTGTGTCATTACCAAAAGTGACCTGTCATTACTGTCCTTAGCTTTACCATCTTTGGAAACATGGCTCAAAAGTGGAACTAGAAAGGAGGAAAACTGGCAACTATTTTAATAAAGTTCAGTTTAATTGAGAGCTTGACTTGTATCTATTAAAGGGCTTTTCTTGAAAAAGGGCAGTTTTATCAGCTTTACAAATCATTGGATGCTCTTCCTGGGTAAAATTTTATGGATTTTTTTTTTTTAATGAAAAAGGGAAGTAATTCAAACAAATCAAGGAAGGACCTTTGCCACGTGAAGCTCTGTGACAATTTTATGTCTTAAAGCTGGTTTAAAGGTAGGATAGCCTTTTTACCTTTATTGCGTTAGCATGAATTTGATTTACTGGATAATTGGTTTGGGATTAGAATTATCTGGTTATTCCATATAACCAAATGTATCTCATATAAAGAAAAAATTGATTAGTATCAAGTTTAGAAATTGGGCACATTTGGTTCAGTTGCTGTAGTTTGTGTGTACTAAATAGCTTTACTTCACATTTATGTATATTTCTAAGGTTGTGCAGATGTGCTGGCCAGGTCTGGTCAAATCATGTTTTAAAAGATACATTTTAGGACCTTTGTAGAAGCTAATAAGTTTAAGTAGAAAAGACTACCAATTGTATTTTCCCCATGCTCCTAAATATAACGAATATTTTCATTTTATAGCTTTTCCTATGTGTAGAAGAGAATTACTTCTCTTTAATCAAGTGTGCACTTGGTGTATTTGTTGACTTTGAAAATGCAACAAAATCCTCCAGTACCTTTGAAAGTGGTAGTTATTACTAAGGTAAGACTCAAAAGGTGGCGCATAAGTAAGGCATGGCCTTAAAAGACAGAAATGCAGTTTAGCAGGCATCTTAAATGGCTTTGGCTAATCTTCAGCATCTGTCAGTCCACTTATGTTCAGTCTTAGAGAATATTGAAGGAGCAAGGTAATTTCTGTTTTTGTGTGCATAGGCAGTTAGGAGCTGGGCTACATCTTAATTTGGGAGAAAATATAATTAGTGGATTATAGTTATGTTAGATTTTTCCCTTCCCCCTCAAATATTTTTTAATGTTTTGCCCAGTTTAAAAAGAAAAAAAGTCTTTCCTAGATACAAGAACAGTGACCAGAAATTTACCCTTTTGCTAAATGTTTAGGTGTTTGCTATAGTTATTTCTGATGTCATGGATTCTGAGGAAGTGTCAGTTAATTGATGGTCTTCCTTTATTGGTGTCTTAATGTTCAGTGTTTTAAGAATTAAATTACAAACACTCTACAACCATATTCAGATTTCCTTATTTTATCAGAAGAAAACTTGAGATTTGTAGATCAAATTAAGAGACAGTAAGTGTACATTGTTGAATAAAAAGTTTTAAAGTTTCTGAGGTGTTTGTGTTATTATCTTTTATGTGTTTTTTTAAAGGTCTTTACTGAAAATTTAGTTGATATTATGACATTGATAAATGACTTTTTCCTCCAAAGGGTCAAATATGCAAAGAATTTAAACTGTCGTCTTTTTTTTTTTTTAGTTATACATGTTGTTATTACAGTGCTTAGAATTAGCATGTTTATTGGTAATTAAGCTGTGAGAGCAACTGTCTTGCTTTTCTGAGGACAAGAAACCTTATGCTCTTCCAATTAAAATAAGAAACCAAAATTGAACCAAGCAGTTTAGTAACTAGAATATTAATCAAGAGTCTGCATGTATTCATAATTTTTTGTAGAAATACATGACAACACACATTTGTGAAACTTCCTATTTGTTCAGCATGTATTTGTCACAAGTTTGAGAAATACCAATGCTAAAGTCAAACAGTAGTGGATGATGAGAAACTGCATAAAAACAGGCACTATAGAAACTGATAACATTTGTTTTAAATGCTTTATTGCTTTTTGAGATGGAGAATAATTTGTCCTTGGTCTGGTAAGTGACTTGCCAGGACACAAAGCAGAATTTTGAGCCCGGCACTCCAGAGGATTAAGAGTTTGAGGCCAGACTGGACTGTATAGGGCTGTCTCAAAAAAAAAAAAATTTAAATTTGTGTAAAGCATGGTAGTTACTTCAGTCTACAAAATTTTTGTTTTTTTAAATGACATTTATTGTGGATTTCAGCAGCTAACATTGGAAGCAGTGTCTGAGCAGAACATAAAACTCTAGAGTGCTTAGCAAGGTCTCATGTTTGAAGAATTCTCTTGGAGCTTTTAATCCACTACTGTTGGATACGGCGAATTGATTGGATCTGCGAAGTCTGGGCGTGAGAACCCCACTCTCTCCAATGTTTATAGTCTCCTCCATGATGGTCACATTCCAAGATATACTGATAACCACGATATCCAGGATACTGGTAGCAGACCCAGCTAGGAAATCCAAAATACTGCATTATTAAAATAGTTAGGAACCTGATAAACACCCCCCAGTCTGAGCCTCTTTCCTCAACACAGTGGTACATGATACTAATATGTCAGGTACTGTTTGTAGCATAATATGGTCACAATTAATTAAAAATTTAACCTTGATCATGATGAAAAGTTTCAGAGGAGTTTACCTAACTACTTCCATAGAGGAATAGCCAGGGGAGAAAAGTCTAACTTTAAGTGGTAGTTGGTACAAAGACCTTGAGATTTAAAACCACTAGAATGTGACATCCATAAAAATAGGGTGCCAAAGTATGAAGTCTGATAAACCATGACTTTGTGTATTAATATTCACAAGGCTTACACTGCAAGAATTTTGAAATGTACTCCCCCGGTTTTGTACTTACGCCCCACATTGTATCTTCATGGAACCAACTTCATTACTGAACCAGCCCATGGCTTGCAAGGAGGAATAGTCATCACAGATTTCCCATTGGCGTCCAATAAAGTTCTCTTTCTCAAAGATGGTAATCTTAGACTCCTTATGATTCTGCAATCCAGAAAGTTAAAATTTAGTACTAGAGTTACGGTTATTCCTGAATTCTTGAATTGCCATTATTTTTTAAGATTAAAACTCATTTTCTGGTTTATAAAAAAAAAAAGTGCTTGGTTAGTCACTAAAGATTTAGGTAATACAGGAATTATAAGAAAAACCTGTTTAATCCAATTTCAATATGTACAAATAACTGATAAAATATTTGGGAACAATGACAGACCACCAATGAAGAGGATATGACAGCGGGAAAGAATACTTGGCAACACACAACCAGACAAGGGATTAGTGTCTACTAATGTAGAAAAAAATCTCACAAAATAGTACAAGAAGCTCCATTATATGTGTGCATTGTGTGTGTGTGTGTTGGAAATGTCCAGTAAGGTACATGAGTATGATTCAAGCATTAAAAAGGCACAGACTAACCTGCCATGAAGTTCAGAAATGGACAAATCTAACCCTGATGATATAAAATGATTGGGAAGCAATTGACTGGAAGAGAGTATTAGGGATTATGGGGTGATGGGATTGTTAGGGTGGTTAAAGTGTTGGTTACATGGATGGATTTTTCCAACATTAATGCATGTGTACACTTAGGATGTGTGCATTTTACTATATATACTGGAAAAGTGGAATTTAAAAAGCCAGTAATGGTAGCTCACATCTATAATCCTAGATACTTGCGAAATTGCAATTAGGAGGATCAAGGCCAGATTAGGAGGATCATAGTTCAGAATACCCCCATCACCAAAATAACCAGAGTAAAATGGACTGGAGGTGTGCCTCAAACAGTAGAGTGATAAGAGTACCTGCTTCGTAAGCATAAAACCCTGAGTTGAGTTCCCAGTGCCACCTCCCCCCCTCCAAAAAAAAAAGTGAGATCAAATCATTTCCATATAGAAGTATTTTTTAGATTTACAGCAGCTATGTTACCTTCTCCACCAGCTGAGTTTTAGTATGACTTTGAACTAAAGTGAAATCAATAAGAATGCAATATTGGCAATATTTGGGAAGTTTCTGTTCCAGTCCTCACTCCCAATATAGGGAAAATTTCAACACACCCCTGAAAGTCATCCTGCTTCTGCTTGAATTCTTCCAAAGACTTTTTTAAAAAAACACTTTTTGAGACAGTTTTCACTGTGTAACCTTGTCTGAACTCAATCTTCCTGCCTCAGCCTCTGAGTGGTGGAATTTCAGGTGTGTGCCACCACAACCAGCTCTTTCAAAAACTGAATTCAGCCTGATGCATTACTGAATAGTGCAAGTTGTTAGGAGCAAGACTATTGTGAATCAATAAAATACTGAAAGACTTGCCTGTTTCTTTGGTTGCTTTCACTTATTGAAGGATTACTCAAGCATTTCCGGTTTTTTTCTTTTTCTTTCTTTTTGTCGGTACTGGAGTTTGAACACAAGGCCTTGTAAGGGCTCTACCACTCGAGCCACACTTCCAGCCCTTGTTTTTAGGTTATTTTTCAGATAGGGTCTCGCACTTTTTGCCTAGGTTAGCCTTGGACTACAATCCTCCCTTGTAGCTGGGATTACAGAAGTACACCAACATCTCCAGTTTAAGATGAGATCTCAACTGGGTAAAGATTTTTTTACTAGATGATAAGTGCTTTCATTAGTTGTCATGTAATACTTTTGACTTGTCTCTAGTATGTGCTTCCTACAACCTGTGAGAAAATTCTTTCAGCTTAAGAAAATACCACGTGATCGAGAAAAATCAAATGGCAGTCGTCAAGAAAGGGAACAGTTTTGTTGTTTCTTTTTTTTTTTTAAACTTTCATCCTCCTTGCCACATTCCGTGTAACTGAAGAGAAACAACATATTTGTCAGTGTGACTCCACCCTCTTTTGTCCCATCCTCATACGCAGGAATGAAAGTTTCAGAGACTCACAGCTGAGCAGATGGGGCGGAAGGACATGAGACGCTCAATGTGGTAGGCATTGCTCCCGCTCCAGGCATCCCAGCGAGGGTATTCTCCTCTCTCCAGGATGAACTGTTGTCCACAGAAGCTGGTATGCTCATAACCAATCCAGCTGCCAAAGACAGGTAGTAGTGTTTGTTCATGGAGTTCAAAGCCTATGGTGGCCTTAGGGAGAAGGCCTGTTTCATTTTAGATAAATTTATAGTGGGGTAAAATATCAAGCTAATCCCAATAGAGCTATACAAAGTAATTTATCATAAGAGGTGAGAAATGAGCTGGCAGCTACACTAAGCAGATTTGTAAATGTAATATTTGTTTTGAGATTATTCACTGAAAGGGTCTCCCTTTCCTGCCCCCAGTAATGTGTGTTAGCAAAGCCGTATTTCCTTTCTCTCCAAGTCACCTGTCCTTTCTCTGGAGTTCCAGGGTCATGATCTAGTGACTGACTATTGCTTTGGTTCCAGCCAAATCTGTAGACATTTCCTTAAGGACACAAAGGAGGAATGCGTAGCTGATGGATGTCTAGACTGGTTTCTGCGTCACACTGTCCCACAGTTATTTATTGGAACACCCTAGCTCAGTTTTTGATGACATCTTAAAAGTGTCGCCCATTTTAAAGGGCTGAAAAGTTCCATTTTGGTGGGAAGCAGCTTCTGAGAGCCTGGTTGGACCCAAAGTCAGTTCTACATAGGCCAAAGGAGAGTCCTCTCCTTTTGTGGTTCCAGGCTGATGATAATGGCCTGGCCCAAAGTGACATCAACAAGAAACTTCTGGAAGAGTAAGAACTAATTTGTCCCTAGAGCCTTGGGGGTTGAGTTCCTTTTCCTATGGATAAATTAGCTTAACAGTGTTCCCTTGGGACATGCAGAAGCTGCCACTTGACAGTTTCCTCTCTACCTATTTGCTGATTTTTTTTTTTTTTTGTATGTGTGGCACTGAGGTATTGAACTCAGGACCTCAAGCTTGGTAGGCAAGCACTCTACCACTTGAGCCTCACCTCAGACCCTCTCTGCCTATTTTCTGTAGGTAAAAAAAATAGGAGGACCCTAGGCTGTTCTGAAGAAATCCTAAATAGCAGCCTACAGGCTCCAAAAGCACAGATCTGATTAGTGACACTGCCCCAGCACATGAATATATTTCTTTAATCTCCACACCAAAGTCTGGTGCCAAGCCTCTCAGATCCTCATGGCCTTTCTAGCTTTGGGTTACTCAATTATGCATGTAGTAATTTGCTTTTGAAATCACTCCAGGCCTCACTCCAAGAAATGATTCATGTATGGGGAATATTTTTCTTCCCCCATCTCAAACTATAGGGTATTATGTATAAAGGGACCTGGCCTAGGGGCCTGAGGGTCTTTTGAGGTTCATACTCACGCGCCACATTCCACCTTGAGGGACCGGACATTATCAAAACTGCGCTCGGAGACATTTGGGCAGGAGCTGGTGAACTCCATCCTCTTGCCCTGGAAGTTCTCCTGGTCATAGATCGTTATCTGAAAAGAGATTGAACAGGGCAAGAACACTAGAACCTGGTACAAGAGGAAGGGCAGAGGCCAGGTTAACAGCTTAACTTGTGTCTACCTTGTGTTTTTCATTGTCAGCTGTAGCCCAGGATGCCTGGTGTAGACATCCAGTATAGGCAGGGTAGGAAGGTGTTCAAATTAACCTCACTGGTTGGTGGTGTTTGCATACTCAGGCTAGGGGTAAGATCTGGAGGGATTGGTTTATAATAGGAATGGCTGCCAGGAATGATGACTAGCCCAATGGACAAATCAAGGGCTCGTGGACTCTCATTCCACCAAACTTCCTGCATATGTGTGACCCAGAGGCCAGGATCCTGGGAGTCCCAGTTGCTTCCTGTGGATTATTTCTTTGCCTTCTCTAGTCACATTCACTAAGGAAATCTAAAGTGTAAAGGAAGGGCTATGATTAATTGCTTTCATCCCTTCTGTTAGAACTTGACTCTTGGACCTGGCCTAAGGACAACTCCTAAAGCTAAGAACCAGCCTCAGAGGTGACCAAAGAGGAAGGTGGGAAGTGTTGGGGAAGCAGTGAAAGGCTAGGAGATTGGCCATTTCAGCCCAGGTTAAACCCAACCTTAGGGTGAGAATTAGAAGACCTGGGTTCTAAGATTTATTTAGGATCTGGTGCTAAATCTCTTTGTTTTGGGGCCCTTATTTTCTCCATGAGCACAATCCCCTCTGGGCTGCTCTATTTTAAGATGATTTTAGCAGTGCAGAGGAGAGTTAACCTAGGAAACTAAGGGTCATTTCCCACACATCATGCACTTCCAAGGTTATCGTGCCATCCTGAGAGATCCTTCAACAGTGTCTGAATGTTGGGTGGGCCCTTCCCCTACATACTGGTGTTTACTGTTCAGTTACTGTCTCATGAATAAGTACCACAGTGGTGGCTGCTCTGTAATAGCACTTCACCCCTGCTTTGTTGTAGCCCTCTTTTTTCCATGTGATCAGGGTGGGCTTACCTTCCATGGTCCCAAAGACCCTGGCATAGGGTTGGTCTGAGCCATCTTGGTGGTTGGAAGAGTTTCTGGAACACAGAACACATACTATTGATTGGTTTCTGGGATGGGGGAGGTGAGAGAGCACAGAGAAAAGGAAAGGAGCCTTGAAGTCTGATAGCCTTTGGTTGGGATCCTGACTCTGCTGCTTACTACCTGAGCCTTGGGGTTTCCATTAGTAAACCTGCATGCAGAGTCACTCTGATGATTAGAAACATTAACACGGGTGACCTCTTGACAAATGTATCCTGCTCTCTTGCTTGCCTTAGGTGACACCATTGCCTCAGTCACACATACTCCAATATGAACTCCTTGGCGAACAATGAGTCCAGACACCTCATGCTACCAGCCACAGGCAACAGTGTCAGAATCCCTGCACCACCTGCTCCAGATTCAAGGGCAGCCTGGACTCTTCAGGGTTTCCCTTATCTGGCTGTTCACAGCACTCAAACTGACCTGCTGCAGTGCACGGTTATGCTGCCATGCCCTCTTGACCTATCACCTCAAGAGCAGCCCTACCTGTTCCTGACCTTACCACCTCAGAGACTCTCCTGCCCTCATCAGCCTGCAGCCATTTGCCTTCTCCCTTGATTCCTAGCATTCATCAAAGTACTGATTTGTGTTCCTACTAACTATGTCCTAAGTGAGCATCTCAATGGCAAGGCCAGTGACTCCTGGGTGATTCAAACAGCACTATGTCCAGCCCATGTTGGGATGGGGCAAGGGGGTGTTGAAAAAGACTTATTGAAGGAAAATGAAGAAGAGAAGAGGGCAATAATAACTGACATTTAGCAATGAGTCACTCTATATCAAGTCCTATTGTAAATGCTTTATACGCACAACAAGCCCATGAGGTAAACGCTATCATTAACCCCGTTTTAAAGATGAGAACACAGAGGGTTCATAGAAATTGGGTAGGCAGTAAAGATGGTAGAATAAGTAAAGGAAGGAAGGTTAGGAGGGAAGGAAAGGCAGAAAAGGGGAAGAAAGCAAAGAAGACAGGCAGGTGTGTATCATGTTTCTTGACTCAGGTGAGACATCCATGGCTCCTCTCCCTGGCTAGTGTCAGACCCAGAAACTCATGAATGTGAACTATTTCTTTCTATTCTGAACCTCTGAATAAGTAGCATATCTCTGTTCCTGCCTGCTATACCTTCTCCCTATATTCAGGAGCTTGCTCATTTCTTGCTGCCCGCTGTGCCTAGTGACAGTTTCTAGGGCAGTAGTTATTGCTAAATAGGTGACTCCACCTGGGGTAGCAAGGGACTTTCCCCAGAGTCCCCCACACTTCTTCAGCTACTCTCAAAGACACTGACTTCTAGGCAGGAAAATTGGGCCCTCTTCTACATATGCCTCCTCAGGAGAAGGAAAGGAAGGGCAAAGGCAAGGACACCCTCAGGGCCTTACTTACCCAGCTCCCGCTGCACAGTCTGGGTCTCCATCTGGTGCCACTTCCTCTGTGGACCCTCTCTTTATAGTCCTGTGGCCAATGGCCAAAGGCCCAGTCAGCACTCTGCTTTCCCTCTCCCTTTGTTGCCCCTGATCCCCAGAGCTTTGGTGGCTCAGCCTACTAGGCAGGCATCCCTCTGGCCTTTGTTTAAACCAGAGTTACAGAAGTACAGAGAGGCCCCATTGCTTGGGCAAGGCTGGCTGCTGCAGGCCTTGGCTGCTGGGGTCTTCATTTCAGAGCATCTGTGAGCTGAGGACAGGAGGTCTCTGCAGTGAATATTCATTTCCTGTCATTCTGGTTCCTCACGACACCCCAAGACCTTCCTACAATCTTAGGAGGTCCTATCAAACACATCAAAATGCATTTTATTTGGGAGGCAGAGATTGGAAGGATAATAGTTCAAGGCCAGCCCAGGTCAAAAAGTTAGCAAGACCCCATCTTAACCAATAAACTGTCCATGGTGGCGTGCATCTGTCATCCCAGCTACATGGGAAGCATAAATAGGTTGATTGTGGTCCAAGTTAACCCAGGCAAAAACACAAGATCCTATTCATAAAATAACTAAAGTGAAAAAGGGCTAGAGGTCAGATTCAAGTGGTACAGCACTTGCCTAGCAAGTATGAGGCCCTGAGTTCAAACCCACATACTGCCAGGAAAATAAAAAACAAAAAACCTTACTTCCAAACACATATATGTTTCTTGTTAAAAAAAGAGAGGCTTATTAAAATTCTGAACGTTGTTGAGAAAAGATAAATGGCTCACTGTGTTCTTGAAAATATTCTACTCTAGCTATGTGTAACTGTGTAAGAGCTGAATTCAGTGACAGTTGGCTAGTGGACATAGTGTCTAGCTGTTTTATTAAATACTCATTTTAATGTTGTAGTTTACTGTAAAAAATTTGGAACCAATAAAAACCTTTTGGGGTTTTTAATATATGCTTTTAGGCTCAAAGAAATCTTGCAGGCCCAAAGTATTGTGCCTGTAGTGTCCTAAAGGGTATAATGACTTCTCCCTGGAAGTTTAGGGTAGTTGGTGAGGGTAGGGTTTGGGAATTGTGGACCTCTCCAGGAGTCCTGAAGGAGTGATGTGATGTGTTACCCAAGGTCACAGTTACTGTGAGAAGCAAGAGGGTGTTGAGCCCAGCAGATACAGTTCAAATTTCAACTCTTCTGGCCTTTCTCAACCTCAAAAAAAGGTTATTTCTGCCTGAACCATTGTAGGTCTATGGTTTCTTATGATCCTGCTCTCTTCTTGGTGGCAGACACTAGAATATGTCACAGTACTTTGGAGGGAGGAAGAAAGTTCTCCCAGTTTCCCTGTAATCCCTGCAACCTGTCACTCAAGTTTCATTGGAGTCCTTTTTTTTCTTAAGCCAAATAATCAGGGGGTACAGTCTGTATTTACAGATTTGGACAGAACATTCTAGACATGTAAGTGTGATTCCATGTACAGCACACCACCATCTCAAAAATATTACTACTGCCTTGATTAATTGGTTACATCTGGACTAATGGCTGGCCAGGGACTGAGTTGCCTGGGGACTGCATCAGCTCAGCCACCTGGTAACTGTGTAGGGCAGGAGGCACAAGCTGTCTGTGGCTGTTGGTTCTCTCTTCCTTTTCCTTCTCTTCCTCTTTTTTTACCTCTCCAGAACTAGGGTCTTAGGGAAACACTTCTTTGATCGTTCATTCTCTAACTCCTGGACTGGCTTAGGTCCCCATGTGCCCTCATGGCGTCCTAGACTTCTCCAGTTATCACACTGATCATGCTGTAGAAATTTCTTTAGAAAGTGGAAATATTAGGCTCCAAAGAGAGGAAATGAAGCACTCAGACTTCCTTAGACAAAAATTTTCAGTTTATTTTTCTGTCATCTTTGAATTTTGAATATCAGGAACATATTTTGTATTAAAACAAAGTTATTTTTGAAAATAAACTGATTGCTTATTTATCTGCTTCTTCCACTAGACCCCATTCTCTATGAGGTGGCAGCCTCATCTTTCTTTGTCATTGTTGCATTGTCAGCTGTAAGCATAACTCCTAGCTTCAATGAATGAACAAGTAAATGCGTAGGTTTTGTGACTGTGGGGCACAGAGTTAATTGTGGTATAGCGCTTACTGCTCCGTGCATACTTCTGGGCACGATCCACCTCACACCTGGCCTGCTTGTGCTGCATTTTGTTTTAAACACTTCCAGCATCTTATTTGGGAACTTTGCACTCTACTGAATTGTCAGTACAATGAAAACTGATTTAGTTAATTTTTTTTTTGGCAGTACTGGGGTTTGAACTCACGGCCTCATGCTTGCCAGGCAGGCGCTTGAACCACTTCTGCCAGCCCTGATTTAACTCATTTTAAATTTTTGCAGAAAACATGGCTTTTGAGATTGATTGAGAAACCCAAACACACACTCACAAAACTATCGTGGGGGAACATCAATTATTGTGCAAACGATTTACAACTATCATTAGCCATTCCTAAAGTCATCAGTAGCTGTAGCCTGTCCTCCTTCTACTTTCCTCAATGACCTTATGTCCCAGAACATAAGAAGGATTGTCACATCTCCTGTGCTAACCACCAAGCTTTCCAAATGACAACCCAATATGGTTTGGTTTTTTTTTGGTGTTGTGGTGCTGGGGATGAAGCCTAGGGCCTGCACATGCTAGGCAAGTGCTCTACCACTGAGCTATCTCCCTCAATATGATTTTTAACCAAGTCCTAGAGGTTCCCTCTCTAACATTGTCTGGAATGGCTGCTTCACCTGCCTGATGTTGGTCATGGCCTTGGGGCTCCACGCCCCAGCCTCATTTCTCCCCAGGAAACTTAGGGCAAGAGCTACCATACAAGTGAGAATGAGGGTGGCTCCAGTGGCAAAGCACCTGCCTAGCAAGCATGAGCCCTTGAGTTCAAATCCTAGTATCATAAAAAAAAAGTGGAAATGAACAGAGCAATCAATTTGTAATCCCTTTTCTCAAACTAGATTTGGCTCTCTCTCCTGTTCACTCTTAGTCACAATAATTACAGCTTACAGAGCATCACCTATGTATCAGGCAGTTCCCGATCTTCACAACAACTCCATGAAGAAAATCACTATACTAACCATTTTACAGATGAGTAGACTAAGATTCTCAGAAGCTCAGTCAAAGCCAGGGAACCTAGCAGTGACTTCAATGCATGTCTGTCTGACTCTAAAACCCATATTTTCTCTTCTGTAGCATGAAGTAGAATAATTCCGACCTCACCTACTGCTGTCAGATAAAGGAAGATAAAGGTTCTAGGGCAGTGGTAGCTACTCAGAGCTCAGTAAATGCTAATTGCCTTATTGATTGTGCCAAACCGGACACCATCACATGCTACATTCTTGTAGAGACAAATAGGAGCAAGCAGCAAAGGTTTTAGAAAAATTTGTCAGATTAAAAAAAAGTTTTCTTTGAATTTGGAAAGACCTCATTCATTCAGTTTTTCTTGTTTTCCAATATTTTTCTTTATTCAATTTTAGCAGTGCAATTCCATTGGTCTAGTTCCATCCCTCCCTTCTTTCCTCCTCCCCTTCCTCCTTCCCTTCCTTCCTTTCTTTCCTCTTCCCCTTCCCCCCTCCCTTCTTTCCTCCCTCCTTCCCTTCTTTTCTCTCTCCCTCCCTCCCTCCCTCCCTTCTTTCCTTCCTTCCTTCCTTCCTTCTGCTGTGCTGGGGATAGAACCCATGGCCTTGTATAAACTAGGCATATGACGCACCACTGAGCTGTATCTCCAGCCGATGTCTGTCTAGTTTTCTGAAGGTCATGTATTGTGAACCATGTTCTCAACCAGCATACTCACTGCACAAGCAAGGAAGGCAACTGTCCAGTGGGATGACCTATGAGATTTAGGGGTGATAACTGACATTAAGGGGAGTGTGACAAACCCCCAGATGTAACCTGGGCAGTTTGAACCTAAGGCTTCTTGACATTAGGGTTACATTCCAAGGATGATCAGTACTCAATGTGATCAATGTGATCAATGTGATCAATATGGATGGCCTGAACTCCAGGCCTTGCCTCTGGGCCCAGGGGAAGAAGGGACTGAGGTCACAGGGCCCGGGAAGCCCTAGGACTCAGCACTTTGTGGTGAGACAATGGGGCCGGCCAGGCAGCTGAGCAGCACTTCTGTTGTTTGGAAATAAGCAGGATGGGTACAAAGCAAAGGGCTCAGTCAGCGTTCAGCCTGCACCTACACAAGTTTTATCTGATTTAATCCTCCCAAATAACCTGTGAGCTATGCTTAACTAAGCCCCTTTCAGAACCTAAGAAGACAGACTCAGAGAGCGTATATTAGTTACCTGAGGTCACAGAGCAGCGAAGTGATAGAACCAGATTTCAAACTCAGTTCGCTTTGCTTCCAGAGTCTATATTCTTCACTGTGTTACTTGTGTCCGTCTTACCCTTGACTTGTGTGAACAAGCATGACTTGTAGGGAGTAGCCATAAAGCAGCTATATCTTCATCCCCTCTGTCCTCACCCTCCCACACACAGACACACACACACACACTTATTTTTTTTCAGTGGCTAGTTTCTCTCCATTGCTCTGGATATAAACTTGGGTAGATCCACGGCTTTTCTAGTCACTCGGTAATAAAATTGGATGGTTACTTTAAATCACAAAAGATAGCCTGATTTTGTGTGTGTGTGTGATGGTTTGGGGTTTGAACTCTGGGTCTTCCAATTGCGAAGCAAGTGCTCTACCCCTTGAGTCATGCCCCCCAGTCCTTTCTGCTTCAGTTATTTTTCAGATTGGATCTTGCACTTTCACCCAAGATTAGCCTTGGACGATAATCCGCCTACCTACACCTCCCATGTAGCTGTGATTACAGACAGTGCACCCCAATGCCTGGCTTGTTTTTTGAGATAGGGCCTTGCTAACTTTTTGCTGGGACTGGCCTCGATCGTCAGTCCTCTGATCTCTGTCTCCCAAGTAGCTGGAATTACAGGTGTGAGCTACTGTGCCCAGTTGCCCTTCATATTTCTA